TTTCCCGGGAGGTGGGGAAACCCTCTTTTGGACAAACCCAACACTCGACAATATGACGCAAAACCTGGGGGTAAAAACCCTTAAGAAGGCACTAAACCCTGTAAACTAGGGGAAACAGCAATGGGGTCGGAAACCCCTTTCCCAGTGCGACTGTGAGGTATAGGGGGCGAAAAAAAGCAAGCTTTTTTTTAAAACCCTTTTCGTCTTCGTGTTTGGCTTCCATCCCATTAGCCCAAGAAGATTTTTCCCCCAAACCCGCTTGAGAAAACGGGTATGGAGCTCAAGACCCCGGGTTTTTAACGAAGCAGCGCCCGGGGGGAAAACCCCTTACAGATTCCTCAAGTAAAAACCACTCCCCCAAAAAACCACAAACACCCCTGGGAAAAAACCCAAAATCATGGAAAAAATCCCCAAAACACAATGCTCCCCCAAATCCCCTCGGGAAAGGGACAAAGCTCGTCCCCCGGGCAGTGAAGGACCACACTCAAAATTTTTTCCTTTTACCTTTTCCCCTTTCCCTTTCTTTGGGCACTCGACTAGACCCCGGGGCCTTTTTGGGATTGGTGTTGCTCTTCGCCCCCCCCCCCATCCCTCCCGAACATAGGGGGTATTTGCGGGGGGGCGACAGCTGATCAATTTGGACTTCATGGCCTGTGTGCCCACACAGCAGGGGGAAGAGGGCCGGGCAGAGGGGTCAATAAACATCATAAAGAGAACCCTTTCGTCACACCCCATTCCCACTCAAGGGGAACCCCCAAAATTTGCAGGGGTCTGAGGGAAAGTCAAAAGTTCCAGATGGACCCAAACTAGGGCACCGGGAAAGGAGGGAAAACCCGATCCCCGGGACTATACATTTTCCACCAACTTTGGCAACCCCAAACTTGCCATACCCGTAGGGGGAATGGGGGAGTTTGCCAGCCACGGGGAAACCCAAAGATCCCCCAAATAGAAGCCTTCCCCCTTGCTAAAAACTTCACCCCAAAAGGGGTGGGAGCCCCTTTGGAGCATGGGGCAAGTGGCTCAAAGTTCCTAATAGAGCGGGGTGAAAAGTTTCATCAAAAAAACCAAAGGGACCACAGGGCGCCCAAAGCTTCCTTTTCAAAGACTCAGTTTTTGCAATCCAAGGGGAAATGCCCGAAAACATTCTGGCAACCCGGCCCACCCCCCGGGGGAGCGGGGACGAATATTCGAATTTTAGCCCCGATTTTACCTTTTTTTTTTTTATTTTCCCTTCGTATTTTTGTAAATTTTTTTGCCCATGAAATTTTTTCTTTAAAAAAAAATATCCATAAAATATAGGGGGGTAGGAAAAATTCCCCAAAACAGCTTCAGGGAAAACCTTGATTTTCCCCTAAAGAATTTTTATTCTTATATAAATATATAATATAATATATAAAAATATATATATATATAAAATATAAATAAAATATATATTTATATATATTATTTTATATATTTTAAAAAATAAAAATTTATATATATTTTATATATAAATATATACTAATATTTTGTTTAAGTAAGATTTTTTTCAAACTTCCCCAAACCAATTTACGGCCCCCACTTCGCGACCTTTAACCTGCCCCCAATAAAGGGAAAATTGCCAAAAAAGATTTAAAGAAAAACCAGGAAAGTAGAGTTTTATAAAAAGTTATAAATTTAATTTATAAAGTTTAATTGACAACTCCGTAACCAGGTATTGGGCGAATTTAATATTCACTAACTAAAAATTTCATAATAATTAATTTTAAAAATTTTTTTGGGGGGTTAAATTTTAGATAATCAAACACATATGCTCTAGGGTGTGGTATTTTTAAAAGTGTTTTTTATGTGTACCTTTTCCTAATAAATTAATATTTTTGAAATAAGCACGCGGGGGGTTAGCGCCATTTTACCCTGGAATACACACTACAACCTCAACTTTTTAGATCCCCTTTTATCCGGGGCCCAAACTAAATTTTGTTTCCCACAGGAAAATCCCATTTTTTTTTGGTGTAAAAAAAATTTAAAAAATTTACCATTTATAGTAAAAAAATTACATTCATTGGGTATTGGGGGGCGCGCGTGCGCACGGGCATAAAAAGACAGTGTGTGGGGGGGACCAGGACGCCCCCAGCCTCTCCTCTCTCCCTTTTCCCTCTCCTCCTCTCTCTCTTTAACTACTGTAAGAAAAGTCCCCAGCCTCCATCAAAAAACAAACTAACCCAGACCTGAACCCGCAGTACCAGCAGTAGGGGGACCTTCGTCAAACAACAAGGGATCTTTTACGGCGAGAGGGAGGCAGGGAAAAGTGGTCAACTTTTATCACTTTATTAACTACTGAAGTTTTTAATTTAAAAGTCTTTTTTGAACCCGGGCCCTTTACCTGACTTTACCTCCTTTTTACTCCAGGACTGTCCCTAATTTTCAAATATAATGTCTTAAGTTTGCTAGCACTGGGGGGTACCACCACGGGTTTTTTTCGAATTTTTTGAAATAATCAAAAAAGTTTTTTAAAATTCTATAAGATCGCAGAACTTATGTAAATTTAATGTTTTTTAAAACAATTTTTTGAAAATGCAGTGTAGAGTGGGGCCCCTGGAGCATTTTTTGTGGTGAAGGAAAATTTTGGTTTAAAAGGGGGGTTTTCCATCATATGGAACCAAACCAAACCTTTTTAAATTTTGAACTTTGAAGGCGTTTTTAGTCCCAAACCCGAATTTTTTTCCAAGTTTTCAACTTGTTTTTGGAGCAGAGAAAAACCAGCTAAAAAAAATTTGATAAATGGTTTCAAACCCCTTACAAACCAAAGGGTAAATTTTTAGGTCTCCACTTTGGTTTAATCTTTAATTTTAGACCCACATCCCGCATATAAATTTCCCAAAAAAGTAGGTATCCTTTCCAAATAAAAATACTATATCCCCCCAAAAACCCCTTACTTTAAATCACTCTCGATAACCCTCAAACCCCACCTAAAATATTTTGCTTTTGGGCTACCAAAGGGCCCGGGCTAGGTTTTGATTCCCAGCCAGGGTAAAACATAGGCCCTTTTCTTTACAAAGTTTTCTTTCACAAATCGTAAGGGTTTCCTGGGGGTTTTGTCGAAAATGCCCTGGGGCCATCCTGGGGGCAAATCACATAATTTTCCTGAAATGCTTGCAAAAACGAGCGGCTTTTTATAAAGTATTTAAATCAATTTATGTCATCTAGGGCCCTTTTAAAAATTTTACATGTATTTGTATAAATTTAAAAAAAATTATTAATATGAAACGTTCAAAAAAAGGGCCCCCGAATTTTAGTGCGGGGGTCTTGAAACTTGGGAATTTTAACCCGTGCTCCAGTTCCTTGAATTAAAAACCCGAATCCCCTTTCCCCCATCCCCCCCCAGGGCTTTATAATCCTACAGGGTTTTCCCAGTTAAGGGAGGTTCCCTTTATGCTGGGAGGGTTTTCTTTTAATTTTGGGGAAATTTGGGGCCCGGCCCGGGCCCTTAATTGATTTTGAAAACCTTCCCTCCCCTCCCCCCTATGCGCTGTACAAACCCCAACCGTTTACCCTTTTCCCATATTATTTAAAATAAAAAATATGGGTTTAGGGGCCCTTCCCCCTTTATTATAAAAATTAAAAACCCTTTTAACCCCAAAAAAAATGGAATTTTTGGATATCAACCCCCAGAACAAACAATTCCCCACCACTCTTTAGAAGTTTTTAACTTAATTTAAAATACAAAAAAATCCACTTATAAAAGTGCCTACTAAAATTTGCAGAACATTAAACTCCCAAAAATCAAATCTCCACTAAGAGTTCAAGACGCTTCAAACAGAAAACACAGGCATAAAACGAGGGACAAAACCCTTTTTGACTTTCCTCGTGTCTGTCTCACACCATGCAAAAATGCAGTGCACATAAAGGGCCCCAAGGGTCAGGGAAATCTGTCTAACAGGGAAAGGGCCCCCCGCCCCCCAAATCTTTTTTTTGGGCCCTTTTCTAAAAAACATCTCGTGTCTCTTTAAAAACCATACCCACTCTAGCCAAAATAAACCCGATTTAAAGCAACTCCCGCAAATGTTTTAAAACCCCTTAAAATATTAACCCCTTAAAAAATTTTTAAACAATCGACGTTTAAATTCGTAGGGTACAAAAAATAAATCTACTTTTTTTTATATATTTTCAAATTTTAAAAAAAAAAAATGTAGTTAAAATTTTTTTTTTCAACGGTTTTTAAATGAAAACAAAAAAGAAGATCTTTCATTTTTTTTCCCAAAAATTTTTAAGGGTTTTAAAAAAACGAAAATATACGTTTTGGGGCCAATTTTAAAGGGTTAAAAGCCTTTATTACAGACTTTTTTAAAAAAAGTTGTTTTTAACATAAATTGTTTACCTCGATTTAAAAAAAGAAAAAAATTGAAAACTGTATTTTAATTTTTTTCCCCTCTTCACCTTCCAAAATTAAGAAATCTTAAATACTAATTAAGCTAATTCGCCCGAAATTCCCCCGCATATTTTGGCTTTTAATTTTACCCCAAAGGGAAAATTTTAAATGTGAACACACTTTTTAACCTTAGCAAAAAGGGAAAAACAATTTTTTTATTTATATCATTGTATTTTTCCCAAAAGGGGTTTTTATTGTTCCCTATTTAAATAAGTTTTTTTTCAAGTACATGTATCAATAAACAGCCCCTCCTCACTTAACCGAGAACCGTTTTCCCAAGACCCACGTTGGGAAAGAATTCTTTTCTAATGAGGACATACTACAATGGGGTTTGGTTTTTTAACCCGGGCCCCTTTTAGAAATTTTTTTAAAAAGTCACTTGCAAATATTTAAAACAAATTTTTGGGATATTCTTAAAAGCTTGTAAGTAAAACTGTTTAAATTTTAAAAAACAGAATAAGGGAAATCTGCTCTAATATACATAATTTAGGTGTGATTACTGGTCAGAGGAGGCCTGTCGTAAGTCCGAGGTATCGTTGTGAACGAGTACATCGCTAAGTGAGGAGAGGCTGTATACAATCACATACATTATCATACATAGCAGCATATGTGTAGATTGCCTAGGGTAGCCCCTCAGAAAAAGGTCAGTGACTTATTGTTTACCCAAATGGAAGAAAGTCACAGTTTGACTGTTGGGTTATTTTAGGTTGTACATATGTGAATAATGCCCTATATTTCTGTAATATACCCTGAAAGCCAATTTAAATATTTTGTATTGTACGTATTTGTGGATTATCTTCAATAAACCAGTTTCACTTCTACTAATGTTTACTTTTAAGCTTCCAGCAGAAAATGGTGGGTTACAAGTGGAATTACTATTGTGAGCTCTGTTGGTTTGGCAAAATTGATGTTTCAGCAAGGCCTGTTAATTAAGGGTGCCAAAAAATTGATGTTGTAACTGTACTATACTGTGCTGCAGCTTAAAATTTTATATTAATACAGTACTGTATATCACTTTACTACTTATTCTAATTTATATACAAAATTTTAATAAGAATACAGCTCAGTATATTGTTTTGATATGTGGTTTGAATATTTTCAGGCGGAGCTCTCGTTAATGTCATTTGAAGGAGTTCAAGTTCAAGGAGCTGTGCAGATTTTGGAGAAAATAAAGGTATAGTATTTTTTTCCCCCTTGAACCTTTACTGAAGAACGACATTATTGCTTGCCATAATATAAATATAAATAGTTTGGAAGTTAGGAGGAGAGTGCGGGATTACCAAAACTGTTGTCCAGAGGGCTGAGGAAGGGTTGTTGAGGTGGTTCGGACATGTAGAGAGAATGGAGCGAAACAGAATGACTTCAAGAGTGTATCAATCTGTAGTGGAAGGAAGGCGGGGTAGGGGTCGGCCTAGGAAAGGTTGGAGGGAGGGGGTAAAGGTGGTTTTGTGTGTGAGGGGCTTGGACTTCCAGCAGGCATGCGTGAGCGTGTTTGATAGGAGTGAATGGAGACAAATGGTTTTTATACTTGACGTGCTGTTGGAGTGTGAGCAAAGTAACATTTATGAAGGGGTTCAGGGAAACCGGCAGGCTGGACTTGAGTCCTGGAGATGGGAAGTACAGTGCCTGCACTCTGAAGGAGGGGTGTTAATGTTGCAGTTTAAAAACTGTAGTGTAAAGCACCCTTCTGGCAAGACAGTGATGAGTGAATGATGGTGAAAGTTTTTCTTTTTCGGGCCACCCTGCCCTGGTGGGAATCGGCCAGTGTGATAATATAATAATATAATAGACTGATTAACTTCTGACAGATGTGGTAAGAAATTTTAATAATACCTTTTTAATATATGGTATGAGGGTACCCCTCTTTCATAACTAGCTGTTTACTAATGTCAGTTACTTGTAAATGTTCATTTTGTGTCTGTCATCATTGATGTCTGGTGTGCTTATAATGCAGTTGCTTGCACAACATGACTATGAAGCAGCAGCAGCAAAAAATGATGCAGTAATTAAAATGTTCAGCTGAACCTACAGTTAATTCCTCTATAGCACCTGCTTGATAACTCAATTTTAATATAAAGCTATTCACATTTCTTTTAAATATTACATGGTTTTGGCCCTGAACATCACACTGTAAATTTTTAAAGCTACTTACTGACTGGCCTAACATAGTATAATGACTTTATTAAGCAGCCATTAAAGAACTATTACATCTGTCTGTTTTGCTTGTTCTATTACAACTACAACTACAGCTACAGATAATACTGCTGCTATTATTTCTACAACTATCACTACTATTAGATGTACAGGTGCAATGCAGACATGTACTCTATGAGCGGCAAACTTTTTTGGGTATTACCCCAAAATAAATTTGTGTACAGTGAAATTACTTGCTCAGCTAAAGATTATTTGTTTGAAAATATAAACTTTCTAATTTGGCTTCCTTATTAAATAGTAGATTTTTGTGCAATTTCATTTGTTTCAACCTCGAAATTTTCATTTTTACCCCATTTGGGGTAATTTACCCCAGTTCCCTGGCCTCTGCTGTAGTGGACCTATAAACCTCTATAGATGATTCACAGCCTTCAAATGATAAAATATAAACACAACTTGCTGCTCATTTGTCACAACCATATCCAAACACCAGTATCAACAAGCAATGAGAGCAAGGAATTTAGGGTAAGATAAAATTCTTCAGTGTCACTATTATAAAACTAGAAAAATTGTTTAGCAAAATGTATGAAAGGCCTAGGCTAATGTAACAAAGGACTCGGTCCATCTGCTTGATGTAGGTACTTGATAATCTAACTTGTACATGTATATCAACATGCAATAGGAACAAAATTGATAAGATTGTGTAAAAAAAATTTGTTAAAAAAGAAATTCCTGATAAGTTGTGTATGAAATTTATAATAGTCACTGGTGATGTTTAAGCCTTTCCAATTTTCTGTGGAAGGGATAGATGGTGTACCATGTCAGAGACCAGCTCCCTTCCCTCCCAGACCTTACTTGAAGTTCCTCTACTAATGTAGTACAAGAGTGGGAGTGGTTGGCTGGGAGTAAGACTGCATACCATGGGCTAGTAAGCCTACTGCACTAGTCACCTTTTTATGTTTTTTGTGGAAAAGCCCTGGCTTGGCAATATTGTACAGTATTATAAGTGGGAATAGCTGAGAGTAGTAGTTGCCAAACATAGCTTAGTAAGTTACTGTAGTTTTCATCTGTTTATTAGGTTGAAACTTTTGTTTCTTGCATGGAGCAAACTGTACTGCTCCCCTGGCCTCCATGTAATAACTCACTGCATCTTTTCCTTCGTATTTGTGAGGCTAAACTTAAGAGGAGAACAAATTTTTTCTTTTTTAACATGAAACAAATAGCATCTAATACAGTACTTTAATTTTCAAGTATTATACTGCCCTTCAAAAACTATGGTACATTTATATAATAGATAACCTGTATATGAAAGTAAAGATCTTGCATAAAGCTGACTGGTTGACTTGTACTGTTATTATACTGGCTATACTGACACATGGTACCCTGCTGGAAAGTAAAATACCGAACCCATTTGTTATGTTCACAGTAGTTGTGAGTATAGTTTTTATAATAAGGCTGAAAAATTTACTTGTAAATTTTTCTTTCAGAATTTGTCGTTTACAAAAATTGCTCGTGCTATCACCACAGTTGACTGCCAGCCCACCTTTGATGGGGGAGTCTTGGTTAACATTTTAGGCCAGCTTAAGGTGAGTAATTTTTTGCTTTGCTGCTTCACTGTGTAGAGGGCTGCATTAGTCATTTGTTTTATTGCTGATCATGTATGTTTTAATGTTTTATTGGAGGAGTAATGAAGTAATAATATTACTGTACACTACTTGTACACAAATAACCCGCACATAAAAGAGAGAAGCTTACGACGACGTTTCGGTCCGACTTGGACCATTGACAAAGTCACACTAACAGAGGTGGAGCAGGACGGCTATATACAGTGGACCCCCGGTTAACGATTTTAATCCGTGCAAGAGGGCTCATCGTTATGCGAAATAATCGTTATGCGAATGAATTTTCCCCATAAGAAATAATGGAAATAAAATTAATCCGTGCAAGACGCCCAAAAGTATGAAAAAAAATTTTTTTTTACCACATGAAATGTTAATTTTAATACACACAAACTGAAAAAGGCATGCACAATTAAATGACACTTACTTTTATTGAAGATCTGGTGATGATTGATGGGATGGGAGGAGGGGAGAGAGTGTGTTAGTGTTTAGAAGGGGAACCCCCTTTCCATTAGGACTTGAGGTAGTAAGTCCTTTTTGGGGTTACTTCCCTTCTTCTTTTAATCCCAAATAGGGCCAGCTTCAGAGTCACTGGACTTCTTCGCACAAGATATCTGTCCATAGTGGCCTGTACCTCTCGTTCCTTTATACTTGCCTAAAGGGGTTTTCACAACATTGTCAGTGTAATAATCACCAGCACGGCTTGCAATAGCTGTGTGAGGGTGATTTTCATCCATGTAAGGTTTGCACTTCAAGCCACTTTGAAACAGATTTCCTTAATCTTTGAAGTGGGCAACTTCTTCAATTTCTCTCTCCCCTCCTCCGAAGAAATTTCCTCAGGTGTGGCCTCTTGCGTTGAAGTTGATCTAGCAGCTCATCAGTGGTTAGTTCTCATTGTCCTCCTCCACCAACTCTTCCCACATCCTCCCCACTAACCTCCAACCCCAAGGACTTTCCCAATGCCACAATGGATTCCTCAACTGGCACAGGATTCTCAGGGTTAGCCTCAAACCCTTCAAAACCCTTTTGTCTACACATTCTGGCCACAGTTTCTTCCAAGCAGATTTCCCAAGGGTTTCCTCTTTGTCACTTCTCCCAAGCCTTACCTATAAGGTTTACACAATTGAGGATATTAAAGTGATCTCTCCAAAACTCTCTAGAGTCAGTTGAGTTTCTGGGTCATTACAAAGCACCTTTCAAACAGAGCTTTTGTGTACAGTTTCTTGAAGTTGGAAATAACCTGCTGGTCCATGGCTGCAGGAGAGGAGTGGTATTAGGAGGCAAAAACTTCCCCTTTAATGAAGCTCATGTCCCCATAAAGTCGCTCTCCCCACGTTTTGTGGGAATGACCAGGGGCATTGTCTAACACCAGGAGGCACTTAAGTTCTAATTTCTTTTCAGTTAGGTAATTTTTCACATTGGGGGCAAATGCATGGTGTAACCAGTTATAGAAAAATTCCCTAGTGACCCATGCCTTACTGTTTGCCCCCCCACAGCACACACAAATTATCCTTGAGGACATTTTTTTGCCTGAACGCTCTGGGAGTTTCAGAGTGAACACAATAAAGGCTTCACTTTGCAATCACCAGTAGCATTGGCACACATCAACAAAGTAAGCCTGTCTTTCATAGGCTTATGTCCTGGGAGTGCCTTTTCCTCCTGAGTAAATGTAGGTCTGCTTTGGGATTTTCTTCCCGAACAGGCCTGTTTCATCACAATTAAACACTTGTTCAGGTTTCAGTCCTTCAGTTTCTATGTACTCCTTGAATTCCGCACATATTTTTCAGCCGCTTTGTGGTCCGAACTGGCAGCCCTCACCATGCCTTATCACACTATGGATGCCACTACGCTTCTTAAATCTCTCAAACCAACCTTGCTGGCCTTAAATTCACTCACATCATCACTAGTTGCAGGCATTTTTTTAATTAAATCGTCATGCAAAATTCCTAGCCTTTTCACATATGATCGCTTGAGAGACGCTATCTCCTGCTATCTGTTTTTCATTTATCCACACCAAATAAGAGTCTCTCAACATCTTCCATCAATTGCGATCTTTTTTTCAAAAACACTTTTGAACCTTTGGCAAAACATTTTCCTTGTTTGTCTTTTGGTGCCCACAATTACGATGTTGATTGGGGTTTCTTGTCACTTGACTAGGTCGTTTTAAACGCACTCCACTTTCTACTTATCAATTACTTTTTCTTCATCTCTATATAATTCTTCCCCTTTGAGGTTGGGGTTGGCACTAGAAGTTTTTCTTGGGCCCATGGTCTTATTTCCAAAACAGCCCCGAAAATACTGAAAATAGAATATTCCGAGTGATCTTGGATGTACCGCGGGGGGGGGGCGGTAAACAATGGACGGAGGGGCCAAAATGTAGGCTGGCTGAGGCACATTGGACGCTCTCGGACGAAAATCGGTATGGGGGGTTTTTTTAATGGGTATGGGGGCAAAATTTGCGATAAAAGAAATCGTTATGCGGAAAAATCGCTATGCATCCCACGTTATGCGGGGCCACGTATAGCGGGAAGGGTGGGGTATAGTAGTATAGTAGTAGTACAAAATTGATTAAACGACAGATGAAATGACACATCACAACACCGGGCTCCCCACCGAGACTTTTCCCCCTCCACCAGCCACGGAAAGGCGAAAGGGCCACAAAAAGACAAAAAACGCCGCACATGTCTTAATTTATCATATTGTAGTAGAAGAAAAAGAGGTGTAGTATGGTAGTGGTGTCTACTCTATTTCTTGCTCCTCCTGTCCTTTTAAATACTTGGAAAAACTGTCGACTCTTTTTTTCTGAAGACTTAGGGAGCACAAAATATTTTTAGCTTCCGACCTAAAAATGCTCTTTTCTGTCACGTCAAGGGTCATACCCTCCTATTGACTGTCTTCTGCCAAAACTGCTTCCCACTTCCAACTCGAACATCGCCTTTAGTTAATCCTCCTTATACACAACTTTCCTTTTATGAACCTTACCCCGCTTCGTCCTTTGAGCCTTCCCTCCCATACTTTAAAATGCTCCAAACTTCAAACACCCTGACTTAACCCGAAACCCATTTTTTTCTTCTTTTTCCCTTTTTCTTCTTCTTTTTCTCTTCTTCTTCTTCTTTTTCTTCTTCCTCTTCCCTTTCCTCTCTCCTTTTTCCTCTGGTTGTCCCCTTTTTCTCCCCCGTCTCGTGTTTTTTGTTCCTTCTTTATTTTTTTCACCACTTCCCCTTTTACGCACCTCGGGGCGCTTTTTTTTCCCTTTGGGTTTTTAGCTCCTGCGTGCTCCCCCCCCTTTTATTTGACGGCCGCTTCCCCTTTTTTCCCACTTTACCCCTACCACTACACTACCTCTTTTTTTTCTTCTACAACTACGATAAATTAAGACACAGTGGGGCTCGGTTTCTTTGTTGTACGTTTTTTGCCATCCATGGCTGCTGGATGGCGAAACTCACGGGGGAGCCCGGGTTGGCAGTGTCATTTTACCTGCGGTATTAATACAAATTTTTGTACTACTACACACTACTACTACCTCCACCTCCCTGCCTATATATAAACCCCCCTTTTCCCGCTCCACCCCTTTTAGTGTACTTTTCAATGGGCCAAATCGGACCGAAAAGTCGCCAACTTTTTCTCTTTTTTTTCGGGTTTTGTGTATCGTTCCAGTCACGGAATTTGGCTTTTTTTTATTTTCACTACTTGATTTTGTGTATTTTTTTTAAAGATAAATATTTTTGGGAAAAAGCAAAGATTTTAGTAAATTTTGTTTTATACTCATACTTTTTAATATTACAACGTTTTTTAAAATTTAAACTTGCGGGACTTA